TGTGTTTTTAAACTATGGATTATTTTAGGCAAAAGGACACTAAAACAACTTCAATCAAATGAGAACTATGCTATGTTGATAGTAAGATTCTTTAAGAATCTTTGACATCCGATATGAATATAAGTAATGACTGTGGAAGAGATGCACGAAAGCTAATTGTAACCAATTGACACACTTTCTACAAGATGTAATGTAAGATGATGATTTTTTTTGTGTTGTTGGTTTAATAAAAATAAATTTTTCTTGCCAAAAAAAGAACAAATGAAAAAAGCTATTTGAAAAAGATAGATCACGACATGAAACTATTTTATAAATTAATAATACTAATTGTCAGTTTGTATTGGTAACCCATACCATCAGTTTTGAAATGGATTTTTAAAGTAATATTAGCACAACAGAACTGCACTTTTTGGAATGTTAACACCACGATTGAAGTAAGCAATGTTAACTGTTATACATTTTCTTATTCTTGTTTTGAACATTGTTTTGGCACATTTATATGGAAACAAATGGTTTATATAATGAAATTGTATAATGTCAGGCTTGCCCTGACCTGGTCCCTTAGCAAAGAAAGATCCTCGATTCCATTTTTATTGAAAAGTATACTTTTACTGAAAGCCAAGTGGATTACAGCATAGCAAAGCCAGAATTAAAGATTTGTGCGCCAAATTTTCCCAATTAACTTTCTCTGTCCTGCCCCTTAATAGTCCCTTATTGTCCAATTATATTTGAATGGATTATTTGAGTAACTGTTTTTCAACAGTGGGCTGGATGGTTAGCCACTGCATTCCATTCCCATATCTTTGACCTTGAGACAGTGTTTCTGGAAGGCACAATGAGTAGTTACTCCCCCCCCCGCCCCCGCTCAACCAGCTCTCTCTTCCCATGTCCATGGCTGACTGGTGGTTAGCAAATGCAAAGCTTAGCGTATGATGGCAGTTTTGACACCTAAAGAAATATAAATTGAGAATGGTGCAATCAGCTAACAAATAAAAAAGAAACAAAAATGAATGGATAGATTATTTTGTATTTACCGTATTTTTTGGACTATAAGATGCATCAGAGTATAAGGCGCACCCTAATTTTGGGGGAAGAAAACAGGGAAAAAAGGTTTCTGCCTCAGTAATCTGGCTAGCGTCCTTACAGCAAACAGCAAATAACCTGGCCAGGTTCAGCAGGAGGAGCAGCTGATTGAAGGATGGAATACCCCCACCAGCTGTTCCAGGCTGCAGGGATTGCCACAGACCATCGCCGCCTGTGTGCCTCGCATTTTCTGGCAGTTCCAGATGGCAGGGATCCTCACTTCCACTCGGNAAAAAACCTTTTTTATGCTAAATTAAATCCTTAAGCAGCGAAATTGACCTGCATTGGATTGTTTTGGATAGTATGCTTTTTTTTCCTTTTGTAATTACACTTTGTGGATTGAAGTGCTCGCAACTTTTTTTTCTCTCCTCTTCTTAAAGTGAACAGTTTTTCTTCTTCGACCTTTTTCTTGCTTTACTTTTTAACTTAAGGATTAAAATCTCCTTTTCTACTCTAACAAAAGTTTCTATTTTTTGCTATTAAACTCCATTTAAGAACTTTGTTACCCTTAAGCCTGAGACAACATCAGAGTGAAAGGAAGCAATACTGCCGCTCGGAGGCTAGAGGCTAGTTTCTGAAACTATACATTCGTTCCTGTTTCTCCTTTGATTTCACTGTCTTTGCACTTCAAAGTTCCGTAATTAAAAGTGATAAGAGCCAAGGGCATGAAGTGTTTACAAAGGTGCCCTTTGAGTGGCAGTAATTTACAATTTGGAAATATGGATTAATTTTCAGAAGAGGAAACTTTAATTTTGCAAAATATTTGGGATGGAATTCAAACTTTATTGGAGGTAACGGGAGAATTGAGAAGAAGATGGAGTTTATACTAGAAAAAAATGATGGCGATGGAGCCCAAAAATTGAAGAGAAAAATGAATATAAACATAAGAAAATTAATGATTTGATTTGTGAAGTGAAAATGGTTGAAAGCAAAAAAATAAAAAAAAATAAAAAATGGGAGTATGGAAAAGGGAATTTGATGGACTGGAGCTCTACCCCAAATTTCAAGGCACAGAAGAAGCAAAAAGGGAAAAAATGATGGTTTTAAGGAGAGAAACCTTACCAGAAGCACGATCGACAACCAAAGATTAAAGTAGCAAATGGAGGGTGCCAATATTATCTGAGAGATGCAACAAGTAACAATGTGCAGAGAGATGTCCATAAAAACTTTATTAAGGAAAAAAACAGAAGATTAATTCCACAAATGGCAAAAGAAATAAGACTATATGCCTTCTGGAAGGATACAGGTTGATATATGAAAGTTGATAATAAAAAAGNTGTTCGGGAGAAAACCCGAACAACTAGAGACCTACATACTAACACCCGCGAAAACCTCAGAAAACATATATATATATATATATATATATATATATATGTGTGTGTGTGTGTGTGTGTGTGTGTGTGTGTGTGTGTTAATATACATTAATATAATTATATAATTATACCATTAATTTTTAATATAATTTAAACAATATGGGGAATTTAAAATGTTAATGATTGGGGAAGAGGAATTTGTGAGATATTTTCTGGGAAGAAGAAGTAGGATAAACAACTGGAAAATATAAAAAAAGGTGAAATACAGGGCATACAGTGATGTTAACTATATGTAAAAATTGAATAAGAAATGATAAAGAATTATGTAAAGAGAATAAAGTTGGAGTTTTAGTTGAAGTTGGAATAGCAAAGCTATGGTTAAAATGATTAATTTGTAAAGATGAATTAATAGGAATTAGTTGAAGACAAAAAGAAAATTAGTTGAAGACAAAAAGAAAAGGCTGCTTAGTAATGATATGTAAGCTTAAATGAATTAATGGAAAAATATAAAGGATTGTATAAAATAGATGAATATTGATAAAAGTGGGAAGATTAGACTATATTGAAACTATGATTATAAATATGATGTATAAGATGTGACCTGGTCAAAACTCTGTCCATAAAGTATATATGATAGAAAAAAAGAAAAAAATTGCAATAAAACTTGTTTTTAAAAAAAGAATAAGAACTTAATTGAAGAACTTGAAATTGACATCATAAAGATTTTTTGGACCAAGATGGGCTGCCTGCCATTTAAGGGCAACCATAGCCGTGTGGCTTGCTTGTCCAGTGCTACTTCAGTATTTTCATGTGAATGTAAAATGGTATTTCTGTCTGTCAGGAAAATATGTATTTTTTAAATGATTTGACGTTGATGATTGATATTCTGAAGAAATCTCACTTCTTCCAACTGCACTGCAAGCAAGTAATACGGACATCATAAAGGCTGAAAAACTGGCAAGAAGATCAATGAAAGCATTTGAACTGTTTACAAAGGGAAAGGGTCCCTCCGGGGAAAAAAAATTGATGGACTAATTACTTCAGAAACCTTCAAAAATATAAAATTTGTACAAAATCATCGATTTGTTGGACTTCATTGGGAAAGACTTTTAGAAAGCCTCATAACAAATTTGCAGAAAAGACTAATGGACTGTGTACATTTAAAAACAGGTAGCCAAATGCAAGACACCATGAATAAATTACAATTTCTAAATTTTTTGGTGCCAAAGTACTGGGATATTGAAGAAATAGAAGTTCCATGGATAGCAGCTGAGGAACAACTGCACACATTTGGTGACATTTTCAATTACATTAACATCAATGACTACAGAATTTTTGTGGAGAATGTGTTAAAAGATTCGAAGAACTATGCAATTTCTGACAGTATTAAAAAAGCTAAAAATATTGAGAGAACAATTGCTGTTAGTTCTGCAGAAGCGGAAAGGAGTTTTTCAAAAATGAACGTATGTTCAGGGAGCAGAAGTTGCCTAACCGTTTCTAATGTAACCAACCTCATGACTATCAGTATTACCTCTTCCAAAATGGGACCCTATTCCTGCAGTGAAAAAGTGGTTAAGAGCACACCATCACACAGTCTATGATCCGAGAATCAAGATCAAGAAAAGTGGAAATGAGGAGAGTGCCAATGAAAAAACCACGTGGAAACATCTTAAAGACTATTAACACTTTTATAATAAGTATTTGTGTACCTCTTTTATTGTCTTGTGTATTTCATTTATTTAAGTATTAAATGCTTAAATTTGTACATCGTGGTATATCTTCCTTTTTGTAGGACACTATTATCATTGGTGCAAAGAAGTGAGGTTGAGGACAACACTTTTATTGCCCTTATGTAAGTATTTGTGTACCTACTTTATTGTTTTGTGTACTTCATTTATTTAAGTATTAAATGCATGAAATTGATATTTCTTTTTGTAAGTCATAATGGCAAAGAATCAGCATTGACTTGGCCACGCCCGCCTGGTTACATGACCACCAAGATACACCTCCCTGGTCACATGACCACCAAGCCAAGCCACGCCCACCAAGCCACGCCCACAGATGAGGGAGGTCAACTTATTTACCAAAGCATCTGTGGGCAGCACAAGAAGCGGGTGAGGCAGTAATTTACAGAACTCTCCGATTGCACTTGCTTTGACAAAAGACACTTATCACTAATTAGCTTAAGTGTCTCCAGCTAGGTACCTAGAGATGGGGGAGAGATTTACAGAACTCACATTACAGAACTTGCAACAGTAACAGAGATGGAAGTATCTTGAGGTCATCTAATCTTACCCACTGCTCTCACAAGAGAGTATTTCTGATAAATGTCTACCCAGTCTCTTCTTGAAAGCTTCCAGTGATGGGGCGCACACACACTCTGGCGGAAATTTAAATTTAAAGCCTACAAACTACAATAATATAAGTGAAACTCGAAAAATTAGAATATCGTGCAAAAGTTCATTTNTATATCCCATTCCAGGTTTTTAACTTCCCAATCTAGTATCCTGAGAAAAGCCATTTTTGCAATCAGGGAGGTAAAAGAGCATTTTAGGTGACAGGCGGTTCCAAGCTTCAGGGATCACGGAGCAGCCTGGAACCACCCGCTGCCTGAAACGCTCTTTTTCCTCCCCAATTGCAAAAACAGGGTATGCATTCCTCCTGGCTAGATCTTTCTCCTGGGACAGGAGCCAAGCCAGCAATCGGCTGGTTGTCTCTGATCTGCCTGCCCTGTATCCGTGCCTGGCTCTTGCGCCCTCACCCAACCCTGCTGCCCTCTTTCTTTTCTTCCTGCCTCCCCTGGCTGACAGGAGAACAGAGAAGGTGAGTCCGCAGAGGAGGAGGGCGAGGAGGAGACTCTGCAGTGTGCACTGGGGAACTGGGAAGGAAAGCATTTTGAGGTGGCAGCACGTGCTGGAACCGCCTGCCACCTGAAACTTTTTTGGCCTCCGCACAGGCCCTTTTTGGGATCAGGTAGCGGATTGTGGTGCTGCCGCCCCAAAATGCTTTCGTTGAAAAGACTTTGAGCGCAATTCCTGGGGAATTCTTTGGGAATCTGACTCCATGTGGAAGTGAGGATCCCCTGCCCCGGCCTAGAACCACCTGAAAATGCGACACACGGAGCGGGTGGGTGGAGCTACATTCGGAGTATAAGATCCAGATTTTCACTCTCTTATGGGGGGGGAAAGGTGTGTCTTATACTCCGAAAAATATGGTACTTTTATTTTCCTTTATAGTTTAGTAGGAGAATACAATATTTCTCAATGTATAAATTAATACAGACTTTTCCCCTTGAGGGAAGAGACAGGCATTAACTCTCTAATAAAATATCTAGAAATACTTTCCACAGCAGAGCAAATAAAGGCACAGTGCTGCCCAAAGGACAACAAAAAAGAGCTTTCCTCTACTTCCAAGAAAAAAAAGCAATCCAAAGTTACAGCACTATTTGCATTATTCCAAACTAATACAACATCAGTACTGACCTGTTGGAGACCTCTCTAGAGGGTTGGCACACAAAACTGATGTCTCAAGTGTTGTTGGGTTCTCTGCAGCATCAAACCACTCTTCGCTGATTTCTTGCGTATTTAAAGAACCTTACAATAATAATTTAAAATAAACAATTGAGTATACAAGCATAGATTGCAAAGCATACCAGCATGGATTGTAAAGAAGCTTTTGTCATTCTTACTGCTCCCATGCAACCTCTTTCTGGGTGTTGAACCTAACTGAATAGGTGAGCAATTGGTAAGAGAACACCCAGCTTATCTGAATGAGTTCAGGTATCCTGGATTGGATAGTTTACACCCCAAGGTACTGAAGGAGTGGCAGATGTGATCTCAGAACTACTGAATGAAATCTCCGAGAGTTCCCGTAGCACAGGGAAACTGCCAAAGGACTGGAAAAAAGCTGATGTGCTTCCAATCTTCCAAAAAAAAAGGGGGGGTGGTGGATTGAGGAAACTACAGACCAGCAGCTTGACATCGATACCTGGGAAAATTCTGTAAAACGTAATCAAGCAGCAGATTTGTAAGCATCTACTAATGATCAAGGTAATTAACAGAAGCAAGCGTGGGTTTGTTAAGAACAGGCAATGCAAAACAAACTTTATTGCGTTCTTTGATAAAATGACTAGGATCAAGGAAATGCTGTGGATACAGATTTTAGTCTCCTTCATGGATTACTGCCTTGTCGTGGCGAAGGGACTTGCGTAGCTCAATTAAGCTATGAGCTCTGCTGTACAGGGCCACCCAAAACGTCATAGGTCATAGAAGAGAGCTCTGACAAAACGTGATCAACTGGAGAAGGAAATGGCAAACCATCCCAAAGAAAAAGAAATGCAAGAAAGGAAAATGGCTGTCTGAGGAAGCTTTGTCAATAGCTTAGTAAAGAAAGGAAGCGAAAGGCAAGGGAGAAAGATTGAATGTAGTTGAATGCAGAATTCCAGAGAATAGCTAGAAGAGATAAGAATGCCTTCTTAAATGAACAGTGAAAAGTAATAGAAGAAAACAATAGAACAGGGAGGACCAGAGATCTCTTCAAGAAAATTAGAGATATTTTATGCAAAGATAGGCATGATAAAGGAACCAAATGGCAGGGACCTAACAGAGGCAGAAGAGATGGCAAAATACACAGAAGAACTATACAACAAGAACGAGCTTAACGTCCCTGATAATCACAATGGGACGGTCACTGACCTAGAGCTAGACAACCTAGAATGTGAAGCCAAATCAGCCTTAGGAAATCTGAGCAACAACAAAGATAGTGGAAGTGACAGTATTTCAGCTGAGCTATTCAAAATCTTAAAAGACAATGCAGTAAAAGGGCTGCACTCAATTTGCCAGAAAATTTGGAAAACTCAACAGTGGCCACAGGATTGGAAAAGGTCAGTTTACATATTCCAATTCCAAAGAAAGGCAATGCCAAAGAATGCTCAAACCATTGCACCATTGCACCCTGCCTATTTATTTTGTATGCAAAGCACATCATGAGAAAGGCAGGGCGAGAGGAATCAAAAGTGGGAATGAAAATTGCCGGGAGAAATATCAACAACTCAGATATGCAGATGATGCTACTCTAATATACATTTCAATTGTTTTACTATCGGTTCTCCTCCCGCTTTCAAAGCTTCAGCAGG